TGATCTTTCTACCAAACTCCGTAACCCAAGGTCTGGGGTCAGCCATGGCATTCGGGTCTCAGTTATCGCCCTGACAGCGAGCGCTCTTGTAGAGCCGCTCCAAACCCAGGGCCCGCCGCCTCTGGGAAGGGATTCTTAGAGAAGACGCGACTCTGCCAGGGCGAGAGTGTGCTGGAGCTCAAGCTATGGCGCGGGGATCCCGGTGCGACCCGGAACAGGCTATGTCCTAGGCGCGCAGGACTAGGACCTCGAAACGCAAAGAGACCCTGCCGTCTTCTGCTGAGGGCTGTTTCTTTTAGCACGCTAGGGGTGCCCTGGTGGGCCTAACGACATAGAAGGGGTCGCACAGGACGGAAGGGCTGGGGACGCAAGTCCCGGGAGGCCGGGGCTAAGTGAGCGCAGCTGCCAAAGTCGGCTGCCCCGGTCAGCAAAACTTTGTTTCTCAGTGCGCAGGCGCAGGGGCAGAGTTGGGGGGGCAGGGGGAGGAGGGGTGGAATCCCGAGGCAAGTGAAAGAGGGAGGGAGGAGGAGGAGGAGGGAGGGTGGAGGATTAAAATAAGTAGGCGGCTCGGTGCAAAGGGATGAGTGAGTCGGAGCTCGGTCTCTCCCCTGCACGTTCTCAGCCGCGAGCGAGGTTCACCATCCACTGCGGGCAGGACTCCGGGGCTGCCGAGCGCTTCCCGCGTGTCGGGCGCTCAGAGTCCCCGCGGCGGGAGAGAGGCCGGGACTCTAGAGCTCCCGGGGTGCCTGTGGAATCCGGCGCCTCTGGCTTCCCGGGTCTCCCGCAGCGGGAGCCTCAGAGAAGCGCTTAGCCCCGGGACCGCCGCCGACCAAGGTAACTGGCGCCCCGGGCACGGCAGGGGGAAGGCGGGCAGGACTCCCGGGCTCCCTGTCACAGCGCGGCGGCTGTCCCTTCTCTCTCAATGTCCCAGAAGGAAACTTCTCTTGCCAAACGAATGGTACAGGACCTTTGTGAAAGTGAGAGCCGCTGCAGCCCTGGGTGGTTGGGAATGCTGGCTCAGGGACTTCCCGCGCGCGGTCCTCGGCCTCTGACCTCCGGGGAAAGAGAGGGAGGGCTTCCACTACTGCCCCCAGCGGGGCCAGGCTCCCCGGTATCCGGGACGAGGTGCCACGGACTTGGGAAGTCAGCCTGTGGGCCCCCTCTAAGAAACCGAAGCAACTTCAGAGGGCACAAAGTTTCCCGAGGTGTGCGCCTAGCTCAGCCTGACCTACCTTAGCTGACGAAGAAGGAAGAGAGTGGATGGACGGCCACGGCCGCAGCCGACTGCGCCAAGGACAGGTGCATGCCCCTCCCGGGTCGCGCTTTCATGAGAATTTGTCTTTTGCGGAGTCGCGCTCAGGTATGAAGCGGGCTCGATACTGGAGCGCAGGGCCAGGAGCCTGACCCCGCCTCGCACTTGCGTTCTGTCTTGGGGTGTTCTCTACGGGATGATTGGTCTGCGTGATCAAGGCCTGGTGGGGAGCCCGCCAGTGTCCCAGTGCATGCAGGGGGCGCGAGCGCTACTTCCCAATTCGAGACCCGCACGCCGCAGGAGCGGAAACACTATGGAGCCGCGGGTGTCTCCAGGTTGGGACTTGGAAGGCAAGAATTCGTTTGCTCCCCTGACTGTCCCATAACCCAGCCTTCAGGAGCATTGGGAGCTGGGAGAGAGGGATTTTTTTTTAGGGGTTGCCTGCTGAGCTAATTTCTCCCTGATAAGAAGGATGAAAATCCACATACAATACTTTTTCAGTAGCTTGGGGCAGTAGCGGGGTAGGCTCTTGGAGTGTAAAGTAGCTACGAGGGTTTCTTTGTTGCCACAATTTGGTAAATGTCACCTGGGCTAAGAGCTGTGCGCTGACTCTTGGGAACAGAAGCCGCGTGCAAGGCTAGTTCTCCAGGTTCACAGCCTCCTAGAGTAAAGGGTTGGCAGGGACAGAGGTGGGGGGAGATCAGTGGGTAGGTGTTCCATCCGAGGCTCCTCAGGGTAATTGCGGTTTCATTAAAGTTGGGGAGCAGATCGGTAAGGACGCAGCCAGGGTTTAAATGCAGCAGGATGGCCGCCTAGTTGAAGGGTTCGTTCGATCTCGTTCGTTTGGAAAATTCAACGGAAGTAGCCGGTGCTGGTCAATCCTCCCGCCTGGAGTTCGGACGCCTGTCACTCGTGTTGGGGATTCGATGTCAAGGATGATTTTTCTGGGGCTACTGCTGGGTTTCTCCAGGCGCAAGCTCGTGGAGCTCGCTCCGTCCTCATTAATGCAAGCAGTTAACTCGCTCACGCTCAATTAGCCCCGAATAAACCACTTTAATAGACTCGGCACACTTCATTAATGCCCGTCATGGGGCTGGCTGCAGACCTGGAATTGGCGCTCCACCGCGCGAGGGACTTGGGTTTCCATGCGCGAATTGCTTTCGCTGCGCGTAGTCGGGACCCTTAAACGCACCTCCGAGGTCCAGAGGCCCATGCCCCTCGCAGAGTGTTCGCCTGGCCTGGAGAGAGGTGTTCCCGCTCGTATTTACAGACCTAAAGCGTTCACACTGGGGGTCCGGGGTCAGGGCTACCGGAGCTTATCCTCTCCGGCTGGTGTGAGGCTGTGTTTTTCTCTTAGCTGACCGCCTGAAACCGGATCGTGCATTCGGCCCGTTCTTGGTACTAGTGTAAAGAGCCACGTTTCGAACGAATTTCGTCCTCGGGAAAGTCCTTGGCGAGAGTCTGAGGAGCCCTGGCTTCGGAATGCGGCAGAAAATAAGAAACTGGCTGCGCCGCTGAAGAAAATAAATTGAGTGTTGGGGGAAACAAGATCGGGCAGATAGCCCGGAAAGGTTGGCTCCCACGAGCGGTGGTGGCTGCAAGCGCCCCCTCCTCCCACCGAGCCCCAGGTCTTCGCTCCTGGGGGCAGGCGAAGAAAGGCCAGGTTTGTACGCCGGGCTGGTGGGTTCTCCCACCCGGGCACGGAGCGGGCTCCGGCCCGCGTGCAGTCAGAGTCCCGCCACCACCATTGCTCGCTTGGTCGGGGGCAGGCCGAGCACCGAGAGGAGGCAGCGGCGGCCCCCGGTGGCGCCGGCCCGGCCCTGGGTAGCCAAAGATGAGGATCTGATTTCCAGCTCCAGGAGGGGAAGAAGAGGTGACAACAAATCAAAGAGCGCTCACCTCGCCTAAGACCGGGCCGACCTTTGAAGTTAGAGAGTCTTCACCTCCTCCCTTCCTCCCATCTCCCCAACCAGCCCCTGCTTTCTTTCTGGCCCAATTCCTATTTTTTGCTTCGCCTCGTCTCAGTGCTATAGGATGGTCTCTGTCCTCGGCGCGACCCTTGCTGGGAGCAGTAGAGCAGATTGGTGCGGAGGCCACGGCTCTGCCCGCGGGGCCGGCGCGCTCACTCCAGAGGCGCTATCACCGCAGATTTGAGCCTTCCCTCGCCCCCGGGCAGAATTAATTGCTGCGGCCAGACTATCTTTTCATTCGATTGTTAATTTAACTGGATTGTTAATTTAACTGGCGCAGGCCGCTCTTGCCGGCTCACCGTGTTTTGCACCCTCTACTCCCAGCAGAGCCTCTTTCCTTACTTCCCCAAACAGCCAGTGTGACCTTCTCTCCAGCCTCCAGGAACAAGGGTTCCTGGGTCAAGATGGTCCTCTCTCCTCTCGCCAACGAGTGCGGCACTTCACTCTCAGTAAAGGCTTCGCTGCAGGAAAAGGCAGCCGAGTCTGGGCCTGAGCCTTGCTGGCCTGGGCTGAGGGTACGCTAGTCTGGGGAAGCTGCCTGCCTAGGTGTCAGTGCGTTCTGTGAACGAGGGAGCGGGAGAATGTGTTGCATACCCCAGGGAAGAGGACCTACTCCAGGTTAGAAGACATCTAAGGAGGGGAAGGGAGGGAGAAGGGGTAAAGGAAGCAGCAGGCAGCAGAGGATCGAGAGTGCAAAGGAGGAGGGGGTCCCAAGCATCCGGCTCCCACAGTGACTTCTTGAGCAGCCCTCAGCTCAGAGCTCAGGAGAGGCAGTTCAGCGCCAGAGGGTCCCAAGGCCTCCTGTATACTTGTATACTTTCGGCTTTCATTCTCTGTCTCGCCTCAACTAGACAGACCTAAGTGTCTGGGAGGGACAGAGATAAAGGCCTCTCTGTAGAGCACCAACCAGTCCATGGAGGCTGGAGACCCTGACCAAGGAGTCCAGGAGATGCCAGCCTGTTGGTCACTTCAGCATGGCTTCCCTCTGGCCTTGCTCAAGCTCCCTGGCCTTGCAGTTGGAGGGTGCCTAGACCATAGTGGCTGAGGCCAACCAACCTCCATGCTATTTCTTACCCATAGGCATAGCACCTGCCCAGGGCTCACCACACTCACAAACATCCTGAGAACGCAAAGACCTTGCCCCCTTTTCTGTGGGTTAGGGAGGGCACTGAAGCCCCTTGCATGCAACTGAAGATGTTTCCCTGAGTTAATGAACATGGGTGTCAGTGTCCACGCTGAAACAAAGGTGATCCCTAAGGGCTGTTATAGGGAATCAGTCCACAAGCAGCTGCAGAGAGGGTGGTGTCAACAGGGCTTATTAATAGTAAGGCAGAAAAGCAAATTTGTGGTCAAAGTGAGAGTTTTCTAGGGGCCAAACTGAAGGTCAGATAGTAGAAAGTAATGCACAGGAGTTGGGAGATAATATGGATTCGTGTGAGTTTGTGTGCTATCTGTGAGGTTCTTTGTGGGCGTCCTGTGATCCCGTGTGTTTGTCTGTGCATGTGTGTGTGTGTGTGTGTTGTTTCCTTTGTTTTGTAGCGGGACCACTAGTCCTCTCACATTATCTTTGCACCTTGTTGTCAACTCAGCTTCAGAACGCGTGGATCTGTCAGGGTGCATTTGTGAGTTTCTCTGCACATGAATATGTAAGTAGGCTTCAGAGTTCCTGTTATCTTTGCAGGAGAGTGTAATCCTGTGTTGACTTCAGCTTGCGTGGATCAGAGTTTCCCGTGCTTCTGACTTTCTGTGTCGTCTACACTGTAGTCCTTCATTTAAGTTGGTTGCATTGCACTGGATTTAGTTTCCTGCAGGTTTCTGTATCGAGCTGTGTGTCTCTGCCAGAGGCCATTTGAAGGGAGCTCTGGGATAAGCGAGGGCTCCTGTCTTTTCTTCGAGGTCAGTGGGTTCCACAGGTGGTGTCTTAGACTCTCAGCGCCTGCCCTGGGGGCAGAGAGGATGTGGCTGGGCAGGAATTCAGAAGGACAGTCCACCCTGAACTTCTCTTTTCCTCTCCCCACTCCCTTCTTTTCTTCTCAGATCGAGATTGAGAACCCACCACAACTACCACAATGGGCAGCAAAACCTTGCCAGCGCCTGTGCCCATCCATCCATCCCTGCAGCTCACCAACTACTCCTTCCTTCAGGCAGTGAACGGCCTGCCCACGGTGCCCTCGGACCACCTGCCCAACCTGTACGGTTTCAGTGCGCTGCACGCTGTGCACCTGCACCAATGGACGCTGGGCTATCCGGCCATGCACTTGCCACGATCTTCTTTCTCCAAAGTGCCAGGAGCCGTGTCCAACCTGATGGACGCGCGCTTCCAGCTACCTGCCTTTCCTTGGTTCCCTCACGTCATCCAGCCCAAGCCCGAGATCACCGCTGGAGGCAGCGGCCCCGCGGCGCTCAAGACCAAGCCGCGCTTTGATTTTGCCAACCTGGCCTTGGCTGCCACGCAAGAAGATCCGTCTAAGCTTGGCCGAGGAGAGGGTCCCGGCTCGCCCGCCGGTGGCCTAGGCGCCCTTCTGGATGTGACCAAGCTGTCCCCAGAAAAGAAGCCCACGAGAGGACGCCTACCTTCCAAGACCAAGAAGGAGTTCGTCTGCAAGTTCTGTGGCCGCCACTTCACCAAGTCTTACAACCTACTTATCCATGAGCGGACGCACACCGATGAGCGGCCCTACACCTGTGACATCTGCCACAAAGCCTTCCGGAGGCAAGACCACCTACGGGACCACAGGTGCGGCACTGCGGCGCCCGAAAGAGAGCTGCCTTTCTGCCTCTGTCCTCACCCCCCGTCTCCCTGATGAGGAGGTTCATGAGACCCCCTACCAGCTCCAAGCCTCCCGAGCTTCTGGAAATTCCTTAAAATCGAGAAGGGAACCATCAAGGCTTGGGGATCAGGTCTTGGAGCATTGGTGGAGAGAACAGGGGATGAATAAGACCTAAGACTAAGGTTTCCATGAGCTCCAGACAAGCACTATAGTTTCCTCGCCCCTTCCTCCATCGCAGCGCTGTCCAATAGAAGTTTCTGCGTTGATGGAGTGACACGTGACACACGTGACAATGCAGCACTTGAAATGTGAAACGAGTGTGACCGATTAACTTTTTAGTTTTATTTAATTTTAATTTTAATCACCACACGTGGCTAGTGGGTCCCCTCTTGGACAGTGCGGCTCCAGCAAATTGTCCTACCTCAGGTCCCGTCACTGACCTTTAGTGTTGACCCAAGCCTTGTAACGAGGCCGTGCTGGGCCCTCCTCAGGAAGACAGGAGATTGGAGCAGAGATTTATGGATCAGAGATTGCCCAAGCCTTGCCTCTACCTCCCTACTCCATCCACAAACTCAGCGTTTTGTCCATTCCACACTAGGGACCCCACAACCCCCTTTCTTTTGAAGGCAAACACTTCATAGCAGTGGGAGGGGTTCTTGGACAACTGTTTATAACATTGCATCATTTTCAAGGGTTAATTCTCTGCCTGTTTTGCCCTCAGATATATTCACTCCAAAGAAAAGCCTTTCAAGTGTCAAGAGTGCGGGAAAGGATTCTGCCAGTCCAGGACTCTCGCTGTCCACAAGACGCTACACTCACAGGTGAAGGAGCTCAAAACCTCCAAGATCAAATGCTAAATGGAGCCTCGGGGTCATCAGGACCCTGGGGCGCACGCCCCCTCCTCCAGAGAGATCAGAAGCCGGAAGGCGACTCTAGCGAGCAGCAGGAGGGGCTCTCGGACTTCTCCCCGCCCCCCCCTCCCCGTCCCAAACAATGTCCCCTGGGTCCCGGACGCACGCGGAACTCCAGAGCCCCACCCGGGGCCGTGACCCCGGCCGCCCGGGCGGTTCCCCCAGGACGCGGCTAAACTCTTGGCCAAAAGGCTGTACTCACGTGGCGGAAGGGAAACTGCATTTTTTAAAAAAGAACGAAAGCTCCGCGGAGCCGCAGCGGCGCCTCTCCCAGAAGTATTACTTTTTCTATTGTTATTTTATACGTTTTCTTTATTATTTTTTTTCTTTGACCATATAAGCTTGTAACTCTGACTGCGGAGAGAGAGGGGAGAAGAAAAGAAGTTCTGCGCGCTCTCGCAGCTTCCAGCCCCTCCTCCCGCCCCACCTCCACTTTCGGGAGCCTGCAAAAGTGTAATCCTTGTATCTGCTTGAGCCGCCCCGCCTGGGACCGTCTGCGGGGCCCGGCAGCACCCGCTGGCAGCTCCCGCGGCGCAGCCGGCTGTGGGGTCCCGGACTTTGGCAGGGCAGGGGCCGCGGGCCCTGGGGCTGGAGGGGCGCGGCCTCCGGCTCCCCTGCTCCGTCACCGGTCACCGTGAGCAAGCAGCCGGCTAGGAGCAGGGCGTTGTATTGAGATTGGCACTTTATGCTGACCATCGGTAACGGACATTTATCACTGGAGTTTTTTTAAGAATATGAAATAAACGGTTATTTTACAGGCATTGCAGGATGGGTAATTTCCCTTCCCAAAGCAGGAAACCGGGCCACTCTTTTGAGAGAAGCAGGTTTTTCTGCGGACTCCAGCCTGTCCCATCGCACAAACCTCCGCCTTATTGGGGTGACAGGTTTGGGATGGGTGAAGAAACCCCCTCTCTCCCGGCGTTGGTCGGCCTCGGACTCAACCCTATTTCTTTTTTTTTTCTCCTCCTTTCGGGTCTTAGGGTCTCCCCACTCCTCGCCTCCAAGTTCACCAAAGAGTGGAGCCTTCAGTCTCTATATGGGCCGTGAGAAACCCAACATCTCTGGGTGCCAGGGTCGCTTAAGGTCCACTAAGGGAACAGAATGTCACCCACCTTTCCAACTAAAGCACCACCTCCCCCCATGGTCTGGACCCTCGGGTCGCAATACCCCGCTACAAATACGTAATCATCGCTGCCTGTCCAAAGCCCCGAACCTACATCCCTCCCTCCCTTAGGGTTCCCCAGCCAGAATTCTCCAACTGGGGGCTTGTCCACTGCCGGGAGCTCCACGCCCGCGAAGATTCCCTACAGTTTTCAAGCCTTGTCAGGAATGGCGGGGGCGGGCGCCCTGGGAGGCCGGGGAAGTTTAGGAGAAATCTGAGTCCGCCCTCCACAAGTTGAACCTTCCCCGGGGCGTCTAGTTTTCCCACAATTAGAGGCCAGGCCGTCTAGGGGCTCTCTCCTGCTGGGGAGGGGCGGGGCTCCCCCTGCTCCAGCGCCCTGACCGCGGGCCGGCGCAGGCGGGGGCACCCACGGCCTTTCCCAGGCCGGGAGCGGCCTTCTGAGCTTCTTTGCCCGACGCTCAGCGGCCTTGGACACCGCAGGGTCGAGCTTCCCAGCAACAGGGATCCCCAAATCCCAGCCTCAGGCAGGGTCCAGCGGCCTGAGAAAGCAGGTTGGAGCCGTTGGAATTCAAACGCTTTGGCTTTTCGCTGCGCCCCCTCCCTCCTGTGGGATCGCCTCCCGGCCCCGTGAGGGCTAGAACTCCGCGGTTCCCGAACCCAGCTTGTCCCTTTGGCCTCAGCCGGGCCAGCGCGGGTGAGCCCAGCCCTCCGCGTTCGGAGCCGCCCTGCCCCCTGCTGGACAGGCCTGGAGGGCCGGCCCGGGACTCCGGGCCCCCACTGTGTCCTGCTCAAAACCCCGGTAACTCTCCGCCGCAGCTCCTAGTCCGCCACTCAGGTAAATCAAAACCTCGACTGGTCCCAGGGTCCACTGCGAAGTAGGGGCAGGGATCTGCGGGGTCTGGACCCGCCTGTAGGTTCTCGGCTAGTCGGGCAAGATCCCAATCCCTCTTCCACACCCCAGGAGAGAATGGAGCCCGGGTCCCAGGTAACTGTGACCTCTGAGGGCACAGAGGGAGGGTTAGCCAGTGGGTCTGGTTTTCGATGGATGGCTTGGGCCCCGCCAGCGCAGTCGGTGGTATGATCTGCCCTTGGCCGTGGCTTGTGATAAGGCTGACGGAAGGAGCCACCTCAGTTCCTTTACTAGTCCCGTGAGGTTGGGGGAATTGGTTGTCCCGAGATGAGGAGAGTGCATGTACACACACATGTACACACACACACACACACACACACACACACACACACACGCACACACGCACACACGCACACACACGCACGCACACGCCCGCTAGGGAGAACTTCGGGCATCTCTGAGGACCTGAGGGAGCCTTCCTAGTTCCTTTGCTCTCTCTGGGGTTCCATCTTTCCCAGAGATTGACCACCGCTGTTGCCCTCACTTTCTTCCACCTCCCACTCCCTCCGGACACTTGGTGCCTCTGCGGTTAGGCTGCCTCGAGGACTTACAGGCTGTGAAATGGGGGAGGTTTGCGGCGGAGTTTTCTCCTTTCTGGCCCACTCCATGTCTGGTATCACGAATCTCCACTCCTCCACCTCTAGGCCTGCAGCCGAGAGACTTTCGATATCAAGCGTGCATCCTTGGAAGAATGGGTTCCCAGTGCAGTTTTCCAGGCAGTCGGGAGTGGGGCAGTGCGCTGCCCAGAGGCCTCCAGCCCACTCCCAATGCCTCTGCCTTTGCCCGCTCTACCGACGACTGCTATCATTCTGGTGAACCCAGAAGCCACTTCTCAGCGTAGCTCTCTGCGGTCTACACTCCTGACAGTGATTTCATAGATTGTGCAGAAGCAGTAACGCAAGCGGAAGGGGCAGGCGGGGCTACGGGCCACCAGACCCCACACAGGCTATAATTCCCGGGAGACGAGGTTGGGGGCATTTTCCCGCTCCTATGGTCGCACGAAAAGGGCAAGGGGAGGGTCAGAAAAGCTGAGTGGATTTTCTTGCCTGTCCACTCTGTAAGGGCCACCCTTTTCCTCACTACATTCCCAGAAAGTTCTATTCCCCCTTCTGTCTCGCTGTGGGTTTTCGGGAGCGAAGGGGGCTGGTGGCGCTGGGGCCCTTCTCAAAGATGCTAGGCCTGCGGTTCGTGTGCCGACCTGGGGGTAGAGGAGCTGCTGGAGGGCCTCCTCAGCTGGAAGTGTATAAGGCTCGAGAAACTCCCGGTGTAGGCTGGAGCTTCCTGGCGTGTGCTCTCGGAGACGTCAGGAGCGCCCCGAGGAAAGAACAGCCCGCAGGGGCTTAGCCTTAGGAGGAAGAGGTTCGGGTTCCACCTCTTTCGGAATGTCGCTAGGGATTTGGGGCACGAAGGGACGTTTTCCTGCGGACCTCCTCGTCGTAGGATTCAGGGCTCGGAAAGGGAAGGAGGAGAGAGAAACGCAGTGGTGGTCTAGGGCTCCTGGACACCTTAGCTTTAAGAACGTGAGACCTGTGATATCATAAGCCCCCTCCTCTCTTGGCGGAATCTTGGTGTCCCGTAAGTCGAGAGTCTGCTCAAAGGCGTTCCTCCCATCTCCCAGAGCGCTATGGCGCTGTGACGTCACGACATCCTCCCACGGACACAGTGACATTACACAGGCCGCTGGCAAAAGATTGGCTATGTCAACAGCTGTTTCTCATTTACGTAGTCCTATCATGTCATAGAAGGGCCCCAATCAGAGAAATGACAGCCCGGCTCCCCCATTTCCCCGCCCGGCCCCGCAATGCCCGCCCATAGAGGAGCCAAAACTCTGTGTCGCGTTGCCGTCCATAGGATCCGCAGACCCGAAGCATTGACAGTAGCCCTGAGTGACGGAGGGTGCTCCCCAGCGTCGCCCTCCGGAATCTGTTGGCTTAGATTGCACTGCCTGCCCGCAGGCTTTGAGGGCACCAGCTGCCGCGGGTTACTCCCCCCGCGCACCTGGCCCCGCCCAGGCCCCGCCCACCTGGCCCCGC